AAACTGACGTTAGGCAGAAGGGCGTGTGCGAGTCGTTCGCTACCAAACGAGGGTTTAAGCAGGATGATTTATTATCTTGTTATTTCTGGCTAGAGAAAATAATACAAGCTGCAGAGCTGAATATAGAAGGTAGAATCTTCTATAAGAGTGTGCAGCTGATGTCGTACGCCGATTGGTCTCGACAACTCCGCCATGAATTCTGCTTTTTACATACTGGATAAGGAGCGAAGGATATGGATCTGGTGGTGAACGAGGGCAAGACGAAATATCTCCTGCCATCACGCAAACAGTCACCGAATTCGCGACTCGGCTTCCACGTCACTGGTTTCCTCTAACTTGGAACTAGTATTAACGCCAACAACAGATGCTACTTTAGATTGACTAGGCAATTTAAAAGCAAAGTCATTTCTTGGCCATACAGGTTCAGTGACTCAAGAAACAGAGGCTGCGCTGGCTAGATCATGTAGTGCGAAGTTTTCGTTGCAATACCAGAAACAGAGAAATAGGGAGACCTCCAATCTGTCGAAAAGACCAGACAAAGCAGGACCTGGCTGTACTTGGTATCACCAATTAGCGCCAAGAAGAAATGAATGGAGCAATGCTATTAATTCGGCTATAATCGCGTAAGTGATGTCTACGCCAGTAAAGAAGAAAAAGTTTCTTGACTATGTTGAAGATAATGTAACGTAAATAAGCTTTGGTATTAAACGGGAGCTTAAATTTAATATTTGTAAACAACAATCTGGTGGTACATAATGGATGCTTTCAACATTCGATGCCACCGTTCTATCAATTCGTTAGCCGCTGGGTGGTTGATGTCCGAATTCGCTTACCTCCTGCCAAACGTGAAATAGCAGTGAGCAGTGCTGCTAATTTACTCATTGAGCCTGTGGTAATATCCGCACGGTCACCAACCTCCATTTTTCTTCTTAACCATATGCTTTGGGAGAAAGTCCCCCAAGATGGCCGTGAATTTACTTACTTCGTTGACAACAGTAATGGCTGTAATGGGTTCTCCTGAGAACGAACTTATTATTATCACATGTTCGTTAATTCTACTGTCCCGATAATTGAATATGGCACTTCTGCATTTCTGAAAATCCTTCTCCATCACCATTCAATTAAGGTGCCATTTGCAACCTGGAGTCGAAGCAGCACTGGCTTTAGGTGGTTTTTGTAATAACTGGCTGATAATGCTGCAACTACCCACTTTACTTACCATCCGTCCATAAAAGCCAACTGGAGGAGCGAGATTCATACACGAATTATCGTTGCTGTCAAATGTTACCAGCTGCCAGTTGTGAGCTTGCACACTTTTGAACAAATTTATAATTTTCGTCAACGAATTTCATATTTTATATGTTTCAATATAAACGCAAATCAAATATATATGGCAATAAATAATTAATTACGAATTTAGTTTTCATTTCTTTTGAAAAAACTACGCCTTTTTTTAATTTTTTAATATTAGTTTAAAAGAGTCAATACTGGTTTCTGAGGGATAAGCGTCAGTAACAGCAACTTTGTATTTAGATAAACTTCTCATAAGTTAGGTTGCTATGGGCGAAAGATATGTTAGATGGGCAGTTGCAGCATAAGTCTGCTGCGCACGTATCGAAGAGTTACTTAACGAATGTTACACGGTTGTATCGTATAACACTTATAGAGGCGGTGAAGGCAATAACACTACTTTTTCAATACTAGCCTTTAAAATAGGAGAGTTGTTGCAAATTCGTGTTGGGAAAAGTAATATTGTTAAAATAAATTAATGACATCAACGATTCAATTAAATAGTTCAGGTACTCTTTAAATGAGGATCTGGTAGCAGTAGAGTGGAATCATCACCCGCATGCGAGCTAGCTTACCATGAGAAAATAAAAGTTAGAAATGTTGAAGGCATAGAATCAGAATATATTATATTATGATGTCTTGTACAACGCGTTGTTGACTTTGGATTTCTACGATAGTAACCTTCTGGAAGCGACAACGACGCACAAAATGAAATAATAGTCGCGTTTAAAATGGAAAATTAACCTCTAGCATTGATTTTATTTAACAAATTGTTGCAAAGCAAGTTCTACATAATTGCTGAAATACAATAAATATTGAGTACAATTAATAAATTGAAAATGCCATTTAGTTGCCAATTTCATTAAAATAATTAAAACCAGAAAAAATTAATGAACGATTTCCAATTTAACCGCCAAACTAAAACTGATTATTTCCTGGCTAATTTTTACAACATCCTGTTCGGTGAAAACTCAGTAAATTTCTTTCTCTGTGAGAGTAAAACGTCTTACTCTCTCAAAATTCGTTACTGGCTGATTTTGGCTGACATTTCTCAACGAACACAGCTAATAATAGCAGATGCGCAAAAGGCAGATGGTACCACTATATAAATAAAAAAATCCACTGTTTTAATTTGAACAGAAAATTCCTTCAGCAGGAACTATTAAAGTAATTATTGTGGTTTTAAAGATACAACTACATTTAATTAATTTTTCCATTGTTTTACAATAAAATATTGGAATAAAACTGTAGTTAAGGACGTCTTGCTGGTAATAAAATACTCAAAAACCCATGAAGTTATTTTTCTATCACAGTGGGACTGTTTATGTTAAAAAAAAATGCGGATTTTTTTAGCGCTCTCATGAAATGAAGAGTTTCGTATCGAGTCATCATCAATCACGGCTTACTCTTGTAATTTCGTTAGTCTGAGCTTACATGAGGATACTTTTGTCGCTGATTATAGTAATTTTCTTTTTTGTGTCGCTCTTCACGTTCACACAATTATACTTTCTTAAAGCAATTTTTTTGGCATTAGTTTCTTCTTCATTTTTCTTCATTATTTCTCTATTTCGCTATATTTCACACACGCAATTTTTCTTTCGCTACGCGCTTGTCAAGACACAGTTTTTATTTATCTATTTCATACAAATATTTTTAAATTGGATTACCTTTCGAAAGTGTAATCTAATTACATATCTCTTCCTTTTCGCTATCATCTGAGTCAATCCCAAAGGCTTCTTCTATCCATTCTAATATTTCTTGCATTATTTACTTTATATGCTAACTCCATTATCTGACAAATTAATAAGTAGATACATATACGCACATTATTATGTTTGCATGCACATATATATAGTAGTAAAAATCCAAATTTCAATTTCCAAGCTTACAAAACGTGTCGAACGAGCACAGTGACACGGTTCGCTGTCGCCTTCGTCGTCGCCCCCTCCCACACAAACGAGTGTTTCGTCGACAAAAAGAATACCCGTGTAAACTTGGACTTATCGGCTAATTCTCAACGAACAGAGCTATTGGCATTGTAAAGAGTTCTGTTCGGTGAGTTGATAGGCAGTAACAATTGCTACTAAATTTTACTGAATCGGGTCTTACTGACATTTCTCACCGAATAGAACAAAAGACTGACACAAAGGGATGATGAATTACTTGACGTAAATTTTAAAATTATTTTTTATATTTTCTAGCTATACATACCATATACGAGGGGCGGCCGACTTTTTCCGAGACAGTACTTAATGAAACAAATGTATAGATACATATATATAGATTAGTAAGGAGGATATACACCCCGACGTCTATTGTGCCCACGGATTTCTTCACATTATTTTAACCATACCTAATGCCCTTATAAAACTAATCAGGATAGAGTGGCTGATTAATTGAATGTGGTGCTCCTTCTGCTGAAAGAATTTCTTCCACAACTCCAACTAATTTTTTCATATTCAAATGCTCATGCGAAATCTCTCCAGCTCGCTCATTGCTAATCCGCAATCTCTCTGCTATATGCCACAATTTAATTCTTCAATCAGCCAGTACAGTAATTTTTCGATTTTCCAAATATTTTCTTCGGTCGCGACCGACACTGGGCGCCTCCAGTACCGAGATGATGTGTCATTTCTAACTTCCTTAGGTCTGATTATATGTATCCATGTACATATTTTTTAAAATGCAAAATGAAGTAAAACGCAAAATTTTGATAATGAAAACATTCGGTAGTTTTGCAGCAGATTTGTTAGGCATTTTGGTACTTAAGGACTTCTTTGTAAACATTGAATCAGCTTATCTTGCTCTCGTTTGAGGGAAATTAAATATTTTATACAATAAGACAAGTTGTTTAAATGTGTTGCTTATGTATGTCAATAAAAACTCTACCACTCAATTTATTTCGAGAACGTTGGTAAATATTTTCTAAAGTTAATAAATAACAACAAACACCCAGAAAGTTTTGTTTATTGAAGTTGTTTTTTTATTCTTTTTAATTATAAATAACTTATAGTTTATTACTTCCTTCTATATTATTTTTTGTTTTGCGATTATTTTCTTTTGTTATTATATATGTAATATATATTTATTATTCTGTTTTTTTTTTTGCGATAACATTTAAAAAGAAGTTTTTAAATTTGTTTCATGCTATTTTCTTTATTTGTTACAACTGCTTATTATACATCATCATTGGCTTTCCCAGTTAATATAATTTCTTAATTAATCATTGTTTGCGTATGTCATTGTTAGTTTACCTAAATTTTTATTTCGTTAATTTTTAAATTTTCGTATAATTGTTCATTGCATATTTGCTTTATCTTACAATAAATTAATGATAAATTTTTTAAATATGAATCACCTACTATGTTAAATCAACTCGTTTCAATTTACATTCCGGCAATTACACAAGGGTTCAAAAAATTATTTATAATTGTCAGATTTTAAAAAGAAACTATTATATAAAATACATAAATAATACATACATATATATATATATATATATATATATATATATATATATGTATATATGTATATATATATATATATATATACATATACATGTATGTATAAATATTTATTGCATACAAATTAAATAAAAATACTTTTATTAAAAATAACAGATGGCGGAGAGGATAACATTATTTTATGTTTAATTAAACATATAGAAAAGGCAATATATATCAATACATTAAAATGAAATGAGAGATGCATTTCCGAATGAAATGAGATGCAATATGTATTTAGAAGCAGCTTACATTTGAAATTTAAACTTACATCAGACAGTTTTGTAAGCTCAAAAGGTCTCTCAATAAAATAAATACATTATAATTAAAGCAAATTTAGTTGAAGTATATGATGCAAATGTCAACTATAAGTCTGAGAGTTCAAAGTCAGGTTTTAACCCAATTATGTATCCATAACATACAATGTTATTATTGTAATTGAATATTAATTCAAACGTAGCACTTTATTTTAGAAAATATAAAATGCATATCCTTAAGAGATTATTCGGTTAGATTTAGTATTACAAAAAAAAAATTGGACCGACTCGTCGTAAAATTGCATTTTTGATTTCCGCGTAACGCTATTAAAATATAAAAATCGGCAAAAAGTTTCACAGAGAAATCATCACATTTCAGAATGCGGTTTTAATTTACTTTGCACCTATTTACACTAATTTCTTCGTAGAAGTTTTGCGCTCTCATGTATGTGACTTTCATTTAGCTGTATTTGCCTTAATTTTTCTTAATAATTCTTCCTCAAATTAATATTGCTCTACTTCATACATTATTTAACGGTATGATCTTAATTCTATTTAGTTTTTTATTTATTTATTTTAATTTACACAAAGTTGTATGCATTAAAGTGGTTGCAGGTGAGCGTGAATTCGTGTTACTTTAAGGGCCTTATAATATGTACAGGGTGTTGCATATACTTTGCTCACATTCACTGTCAGCATCGGAACTTACTTTGAATATTAATATAAGTGTATTGATGATTTGAATATTTTGTCTTTTTGCTCCTGTTTTCAATGTTTCTCGGAACCATTAACAACCATTTTTTATGACGAAACAAATATAATGTGAGACCACGTCCACTAGTTTGCTTCCACATTATTTGTGTCAAGTAAGTTTCCAGCCAAACGCTATTGCGCCTTTTATAAGTTATCTCAACATTTGAATTTTACCATTGGTATTGGCTTAGAAGACAGACACTTGTCACAGCACCATTCAGCATACACTTCATCTTTCAGCATTTGGAATGCCGCCTCTGTCAGACCCACACACGTCCTACCAATAGAATAGTGTTCATTATTATTATGGTAGTTTATATTTAGAATATTAATGCATTCACTTACCTATGAAAAAAGAAATTACATCCTGATTCACAAAATACTGCCTCATCGTTGTCGTTGACTTCTTTGTGGCACATACCACAAGGGTATATCGGTGGTGCATTCGGATTTTGAGGATTAAAAACCATCGGCTGACCAGGAGGATACATTTTTCCGGTGCCCATTGACATTGGCTTAGGTCCGCCCATACTTCCGCCAAGACCGCTCATTGATGCACCTGGCCCACTCATCGAACCCATTGTACCAGCCATGGATCCACTCATTGCTCCGCCAGGCCCAATAGGACCACTCATCGAGGCACCTGGACCCATTGGACCACCTGGCCCGAACATATTGGGATTAGCACTACCCATCGAATGGGGGGGCCCATGTGGATGCGCATGTGGATGATGTCCATGTGGGTGTGGAGGGCCATTCATGATGCCAGGACCACCTCCAGGCCCACTACCTCCACCGGGTCCTGGTACGCCTCCCATGTGTCCTAAGTGAGAACCGGCCATCATGTGATGCGGTGGGTGTGAATGATTTGGACCTCCCATATGAGGAGGCATCATGCTTCCGGGTCCATGAATATGAGTATTAGGTCCGCCGCCTATAAGATGTGGCGGCATGGGACCAGCCGGATGTGGATGATGTGGATGATTCATTAACTGCTGTTGCGTTGGTCCAAGATGTGGTTGTTGGGGTGGTAGCATTTGATTAGGTCCTCCACTTCCGCACATACCTGATGGACCATGGCCGGAACCATTTCCTTGATTACCGGGTGCTTGCCCAGACATTAGTCCCATATTACCCGCACCGCTGTTACTGTTCATTTGCATCTGATTGCCTGGGCCAACATTACTGTTGCCGCCATGAGACATAGACTGTTGTTGCTGCTGTTGCTGCATAGGAACATTCGCATTCAGTTGTTGTTGGATTGGACCTCCCATTGGCACACTACCACTCGTGTTTATTGGCCCATTATTTGAGTTGTTGCCGTGGCTATTATTATTGCTACCACTGCCGCTGCCGGGACCCATGTTTAAACCAGACGCACTTACGCCTAATCCACAGCCCATTGGACTAGCACCTATATTCCCACTTCCACCAGCACTCAACGAAGGTGACTGTAACGGGCTTGGCCCTGGGCCAGTACTTGATATCGAGTTGTTTATCATACTTGGGCTACGTCCGGGACCACCACTGGAATTCCCGCTTAACGTGTGCAGCGGTGACATGGCCGGATTTACACCAGGTGCAGGCGAAGATGTTGGTACGGAAATGGCGGATGCTGAAGACGTCGCTGTCGTTGCTGAGGAGGATGTGGAAGGCCCGTTGCTAAGGGATGTCGCACCCATGCGTCCCACTGGTGAAATATGATGGTTCTGATTGTTTTTAGCGTTATTGTTCGGATTGTTGTTACTGATGTTATTGCTATTATTTGATATATTTGTAGGCCCACTACTAGCTGGGGAATTACTGCCTGGACCAATATTACCGCATTGTCCACTCATCGATGAAATCATATTACCGCCAAGTTGCTGAGGAGGTAATGTTACCCCAGCCCCAGGCCCTGGTCCTCCAGGTAAATGACTATGATTCGCTGGACCATTACCTAGTGGACTATGCATTGTTGGTGGGCCCATCTGTCCGTTATTCATATGCGGCGGTTGTTGAGACTGAGATTGCTGCTGATGATGTGTTGGATGTGGACCAATTGGGCTCCCCATTGCGCTATTCATAGGAGAGCCCATTGATAACGAATTCATCGGCGAACCCTGTCCAGGACCGTGCGCCATTCCTGATGGACCGCCTCCTGCCCCTACTGCCGCATTTCCCATCGGCGATCCCATAGCACGCGGCCCGTTGGGACCTGGTCCGGGGCCCGGACCAGGGCCACCCATTGGAGACAAGCCTCCCATTCCCATGTGATGCGGCGATATACTAGGTCCACCTAATCCTCCCATGGGACTCATGCCACCCATCGCAGTCATTGCACCCATAGGGCTGCCCATGGGTCCACCTGCTCGTCCGTGATTCATATGCGGTGGCAGCCCGACACCGGGCCCCATTGGATGTCCGGGTCCTCCCATTGGGTTTCCCATACCCATTGGGTTCATTCCTCGCATTGGCGGCCCCCCCATATGATGAGGATGAGGTGGGCCACCAGGATGATGAGGATGCATATGGGGATGCATGTGAGGTGGTGGACCATGGGGACCGCCCATACCCATATGTGGACCACCCATGCCGCCTGGACCAAAATGTCCCGGTCCCACCATGTGATTTAAGTTGCTCATGCTATTACTTGTCATACTAGGGGGTGTATCGTCGAATGGATTTGAAGCAACAATTGTATCGCCAAAGCCCCCCATGGGTGGAGGCGGCAGTAAATCTGCAGGTGTAGGTGGTGCTTGTGGTGTCATGGAATTAGCAGCAGCCGAAGCAGCAGCAGCCGCCGCCGCAGCTGCAGCCACAGAATTAGCGTTAGATGTTTTCCGTCGTTTTTTTGGATTACTCGGCGCCGAGATAATATCGGTTGGAGGTGGTGGTTTAAAATCAGGTGGGCACAACCCACCAGCTGGACCCGTCAAACGATATGGAGCCATACCGAGATGATGGGTCATATTCGTGGTATTTTTCTTCCTAATGTTGGCGGCTTTTTATCTCACCGTCGTAAAAAAATATTAAAATAGGACGTGCCCTTTCTCACTTTATGAGTAGCAAGCCGATGGTGCCGATATTGGATGTACTATTATTTCAACTCAATTTTATGTGATTTATGCCTACTATTTTTATACAACATTTGAAATGGCACGTTTAAAATTTTGGTCAGATACTACTGACTGTCCTCCAGATTAACTATTGATTCTATCCAAAGTATAGTTTCAATAAACCTCAGATGTAGATTTCGGATGCCACAAGAACTTTACACCAAATCTGAAAAATTGTAGGAAATCTTATTAGTAATTAATTAAAATATATAAACACATATATGATTTAAACTAAAGAAGCCCCAATTTAATTTTAACAATTTATTCCAATTAATGAAATAGAGCGTTATTCATAAAATAATGCATTTACAGTCGTATTATATGTAGGTATGCACATATGTATTTTCATGCCCTTCTACATATATGATCCACAATATTGTATGTAAACAATTTAAACTCACCCACTTCGTTTTTTTATGATGATCATTATGAATTTCTAAACCATACAAATATAAATAAGACCAGATTAAAAATCCGGTCCAGTTCTTGAGAAGTCCACTGTCACGTATATTCTTCTGTCGATCAGGCGACAGAAAATAGCTACCGCTAATTCGACACTACCTTTTTAATTCCTTACATGGAAACGCATATTTTAAACATTCAAAAAATTAAATTGAGTAATATTTTTGCTCCAGGACGTAACTATCACTTGTACTACTCAAAACAAATTGCTATACACCGCTGTAGCTACTTCTTCATCTAAGTCTTTTATTCTTCACTTTTTCCTTCTAATTTTATTCACCCTTTTCTTTTTACACTCCTTCCAACGATGACCCTCTTCACATTTGCCTTCAAGAGCTACTGCTGCTTCTTCTTTTATACTCTTTCACAACGCAGCCTCTTAATATGGCTCATATTTTTCTGCTTGCCTGCCTTCCTTTTGCATTGGTTAAAGCGGCAACTATTACCATCTATTGTATAGTTTTATTTTAATTATTTATTTTTAAAACCTCCAGTTAAATACACCAGTAAACAATAATCACATTCTTCTTGATCAGTATAAAAATACACGCTATTTCATCCAGGTAATGAAAAACATATGATGATCTGACAATACATTAATTATTTAATATTCCTATTGAATTTACGACGATCGCGTGCCACAATTTTTCATATTGAGAGTCTTACATATGAATTGTTTTTATTTGTGATGAATTTGGTGTGCATAGAAATGGATTAAATATTTTAGTTGTTGCTGCTTTGTGCGTTGGCCGTTGTCGTCGACGACCAAAAATCCTCGCTTTCCCAAATGCAAATATCCACGCACACATATACAAAACTGCCGCTACCTTGCTGGCACTTTCAATTATCACCCCGCGTTTTAATTCCTATCAATTTCGTTCCCGAAACAAATTACCATTCGAATTTTGGTTCCCTTTTTTCGCGATTTTATGTAAACTTGGTAAAAATCGGTTATATTTTTAACAATGATTTATTGCTTCCACCCTCAGTAACGCCATTCCATTCTTAATTTGTTTTCTTCTCATTCTTCGTTAAAAATCAAACTTCAACACGTTTCGTTAAAAGAATTCAACACTTTCGTTAAGACCAACCAGAAGCAAAATAAAGTGAACGGTGTAAATAAATACTTGAAAACCAACAACAGGGTGATACTTATAGCACGCGCATGAAAAATAGCTTAGTAATTTAAAATGCTCGAAAATTTTATGAAATGATGAGATGAAGTAACCAATAATAATTTTTCTCCGGAGCAAAAGGGATAATTACTTGATTAGTCGAAGGCGGGGCCCAGAATTTGCGACGACTTGGCAGATGGACTTCATATTGATATAAATACATATAAATAATATTAAAGCACCTCTCTGTATACATCTTGCAGATATTTTTTTCTCTTTCCTCCACAAATTACTTTTACTTTGTTATATGAACATATTACGCTTCTACTACAATTTTTTTCTTAAGTAATTATGTACGTTGGTTTATTTGCACTGAAGTTAAGAACTGGATATAGGCCCGTAGTGCAGTTCTGTAACTTTTATCAACACGATTTGTCGGATCGCAAACTTGCGAATTTTGTCGCTTGCGCTAACGATCATGCGATGCGAACTAAGTTTTTACGATAATCGACAACGCACTTTTCCACTTTATTAAGATGAAGGAAAGGTGGCACCACAGCTTAACAAAACGTCAAAATATGCGAAAAACACAAGGAGGAATGACAAAAACAAGTAAATTCGTTTTAGAAATTATTTTTATTAATTGAATACCAAAACAATAAAAAATGTTTATCAAATCGAAAACATGTCTTGGTTTGCACTTTCATACATGACTCTTCAAACTACAGAAGAGCTTCAAATAAACTAATCGTGCCGTGCTCTTGGCTATTTAGCATTTGCCGCCATAATCTTGCGATAAGTATCACATATGTATCTACAGTCAAAGACAAAAGTTTAATACACCTAAAAAATTCCACTTACTAAAAAAATTAAACATTTTAGAGTAAATTTGAAAATGCAGTTTATTTAAAGTAGATAATTAATTGTCAAATCACGTAGATAACAGTAAATTTATTTATAACATGAAATCACGCGGGACAAAGGTTTTTATACAACCAAAGAAAAATACCCATGGAATGTGCTTTGAAAGTTCTTTAGAAATAAAGTACCGTTATTAGATACGACTTCTTTTCCAACAGTGAATGCAAAGTAAAAAAAAGGGTAAAAAACAGATAGAGGGTGGTGTCAAAAACTTAATGATTAAACATTTTCAAGAAGGAAAATCTTACCGAGATATAGGAAAAAATCTTGATAATGCTTATGCGAGTGGGCAAAATATTTTTCGAAAGTAGAAACCTACAAATCTGTTGGAAATAGGCCAAGATCTAGGCGTCCAAGGAAGCTATCCTGGCGAGATATTAGTTATATCACCAAGAAAAAAATCCTAAAATAAGTGCTCCAAATATAGCCGACAGCATCGCTAAAATATTGGGCAAAAATGTATACCCAAAAACTATAGCAAGAACTTTACGGGAAGATAGCTTTCGAAGCAGAGTTCCACGTAAAAAGCCTCTAATATCTGAGAAAAATAAGTAACTTCGTCTTTAATTTGCAAATAAATTCAAGGGTACGTATGAATTCTTTCAGAGAAGGCTCCTGTTTACGAGCGAATCGAGATTTAACGTGTTCGGAAGCGTTGTCTGCTTAAAATTTGGCGTAAAGCTTGTCAAACCCAAAATTTAAAGCAAACCGATAAGTACCGTGAGGGTAGTGTCAAGGTTTGGGGAGCGATTGGAGTAAATGGCGTAGGACATTTAACCTTTATCGATGGAGTATGGATGGAGCTTATAGTCTGCCGCAATCGTCACACTTGAATCCCAATGGGCATATTTGGGAGTTATTGGCGCGAAAGATTGCTATCGCGGCTTCAACCAGCAAATAATCCTTGGAAGAATATCTGAAAAATGCATAGTCTGAAATTGCGCCATCGAAAATAGAAAATTTGGTTATATCTACCCCACGTCATCAAGGAAGTTATAGAAGCATGAGGTGGGCCGACAAATTATTAAAATTGTTTTAAACCCCCTTATTTTTAGTTTAATTTAGTCAAAATATGAAATAATATGTATTGTATTTAAACTTTTGTCCCGCGTGATTTCACGTTTTTAATGAATTTACCGTTTTTTACGCGATTTTGGATATTTTATTGGATTGCATTGTTGATTAATTATCTACTTTAAATAAACTGCATTCTTACATTTACTCTAAAATACTTAGTTTTAATAAAAAGTGGAAATTAATAGAAGTATTTAGAGTTTTGTTTTTGACTGTATGTTCAAATATAATGAATTTTGTTACTTCAATAGTAATTGAAAAAAATTTACTGCACGTTGGTAGAATGGTATCCATGAAGGTTTACATAGGCTTCTTCGCAATGGATAGCCCCAATAGTGTCTCCAACAAATGGCGAGGCAATGGGAAATCTATCCTTCGCAGGAAACATTGAACGGTTGACAGCTACTGTCACGCGATGAATACAATAGTTTACTGATGGCTGAATTATGGGTATTCCCTATTGCTCTCCGACGGGACGTTGGGAGCAAGAACTAAAAAAATATTTAAAAGGTATTCTTACCTGTTTCTCCGTAGATAATGTTGTTATTTTCTACCTTTTAGGTGTCTATCAAGAAACTCAGTTGCATTCAAGTGGAAATGATCTTCAACTTCCTGAAGCCAACTTCTATCCAATGATGAAGGGTGCAATATCTCCTCGTCTTGGGAAAAAACGTATGTCAAACGTGAACGTCATTCTCTCTTCGTTTCCTCGTGCATTTTCGTCATTCTTGTCGGACAAACAGAACACAGCTGAGTAGCAAGATGAGAAGCGTCTATTCCATTCAAACCGCTCCATCAGCTGATCTTTCCGTACGATATGGAGTGCCCTTAAATAAACAAATGTTAAAAGCATAAATAAAGTACTTAATTAATCCAAACTATATTATTACCATAACTTGTACAGGATCCTTATCATGTATTTTTTTTTTACTTCTATCTACATTCTACTCGAAAATAAGAACATAACCCTGCCAACAAAACCTTGGTAAAAGCTAGATATCTTGAGCAAACATTTGCTCAAAACTAGTTATAATACTGGGTAACAGCATATATAATTTCGGACAGACCGTGCAGATTTTACCCAATTTCCCCTTGTATGTGTGATCATACATCCTTGTTACACTTATTCGATCACGTCATTAATTCTAATTTTTCTTGTCAGCCGGCATAGAGCTGTTTTACAAAATTTCAAATACTCCGAAATTTAAATCAAAACAAAATATGATTATTTTGCTTTACTTTTATTTTCTACATATTACAGATAAGGATGATAAAAAATACACAAAAATATAAATAAATAATCATACATTTATTATATTTAAAAATATTTAACATATTTTGGATGAGAATAACACAAAATTTGAAATTAAAACAAAAAAGGAAATTTTTTCCTGTTTGAAATTTACTATGCAGCCTTAGGTTGATGTTCAGTTATACATTTGCAATAATTCACTTCGCTTTTTTATTTCGGTGCTCTTATTTATTTTATGCACATGCATAAGTACACAAAAAGTTTGAATGAATAATACTTACCAAGTGATGTAGTTTTTGGTGTTCCCTCTTTGAAATCGTTGTGTTCAAATCTCCAAAATAATAAAATTAATATGGAGTTAATGTACAGTATGTCAATTAATTTTTTGCAAAATGAAAAAAATCAAAGAAATTAATTTTTCAGCTTGATTTTGATTAACATAATTTTAATTAAGCCATAAATACATTCCTTCAAATTCCGGTCAAATTCCGAATGTTTTTTTCAACACCTTTATTTTTAGGTATTCAAAATAATACCAATTCTTTCTAATTTATGAAGTGTCAGAAAAGAAGTCCCGTCAAAAAAAAAACACCGAGAATTTTTTTTGACAATTTGAATATAAATAGTGTAACTGCGTGGTTAAAAGAGCGAACAGGTGTGAGTGCATTTGTAGAATTTTTTAATTTAAGGGGAAACTGGGACATCTTGGCTGGCAGGAAATATAAAATGGATTATCCGTTCAACTGCATTCTCCTTCAATTTGTATGTTCTCAGAAGAGAAAGATTAACAAATAATTTGCATATGTGTTAGTGCTGCCCGAAATGGTGTGAGTGTATTGGTGAACCTATCAGCCCATTTTTGTGTACGTTTATAGAAGAGACAGGACATGTTAATCGATTGCTATACCGGCATGTGCGACAAATCGTTTTCGCATTAAATTGTCATCGAAATTTCACTGTGCCGTTTACTTTAACGAACATCAGAACTAAGCGATATGACATGTGTCAGAAATCATAGTCGCATATTTCTCCGTTTTGAAATCGACCGGATGTAAATATTTTTTTTTCTATTGGTTTAGCGTTACTTCATTGCTTGAAAAAAGTTTTCAAGGTTGGAAGAATTATTTGGCCAGCTTATTAACTATATCGCCATCGCAAAATTTAGAAAAATTTATTTCTACCAAATCAATCAATCAATCTCAATAAATTTCTATCGTTTCGGTTGAAACTTTTGGAAGTTAAATAAATTTATTTTAATTTTTATTTGAAACGAAAGGGCGTCGTTAATGTTACACGTTAAATTGAAGTGTGTTGTTAAATCATAGCAAGCAGCCATTTTAAAATTAATGTCAACGTTATATCGTTACGATTTTATTCCGTTTTGATAACTAGCGCGGAAACGAAACAATTTCATTGTAGTAAGTTAATTTTTCTTGTTAGCGAAATGGAATGATATATTGTAGTTGCGATTGGGGAGAATATCTCATTTATGCAGTTTTTGTTTTGGTAAAATATAATATATAAAGTAGTAAACGTTTACTTTAGGGCAAGCGTAAAATACAAACAGAGAAGAAAAATTTATAAATTTTATGAAGTAATTAGCGACCGCGATAACCGAGTGGTTAGCATTGGGTACTGCCATTCGGAGTGCTGGTTCGACCAACATCCAAAAATTATAGAAATTTTAATTTAAAACATCAGAACAAATAGCACAAATTGGAAGAGGTTATATTAGCTTACTTTT